GTTCAAAGTAAACGAAGTTATTATACTTATTAATGGCTTGAATTTAAAGTTGCAAATATTTATATTAAAAAAGTATGTTAACTGTATTATGATAAAAAGTCGTACTTTTATATTAATTCAAGTCATGATTGTTTATATGTGCCCACATGGTTTATTTTATAAACTTGCTTCATATGTTGCACACAACTCAGTAAATATTTTGTCATAAGATCTCTAACAGGTACATATTGGACACGAGATCAGGCGATATTAGTTAGCAAAGATCAAATAAATTTAGGTCGGAGGAATTGAGTTGGCGACGGAATAGGACACGTTGATATCCCAGTTAAATGTATTTTCATTTATTACTTTTTTTTCAAGTTAAACATGTTTTAAAAAATAATTTGATACAAACGTTCATGAATATTTTCATATACAATCAATACAGATGAATGTTTAAAAAGAAACGAGAGTTAGTATTCGTGAAAAAAATAGCACAATGTGACTGTCCTCAGGTGCAAATATCTATACAAACACACCGATAGAGAAAAAAGAAAAAGATAATTTGCTAAGAAATAATAAAATGAATATTTACAAAGAGTTCGAAAACGAAAATGTGAAAATAAGAATATAACGAGAAATATTCGGTTACAACGTGAAACGATATATGATTATAAAAAACAAAAGTACATGGTAATAGTTATTGAAAGAAAAACAATAATTACACGCACATAAATATGTGTGATTATAATATGAATTAAATTCTATTGTTGATTGTGAAGATGAGAAGAAGAAATATCATTTTGATCAGGACTTATGTCGATGGAAGATAAAGTTCGAACAGTAGCAATAGCACGTGTTACTTGTGAAGAAGTAATTGTTTCACTCGTTTTTTAGAAAGTTTACGTTTTTTTGCTGTTGTTGTTGTTGTTGTTTCTAAACCATTACCAATGTGTTCTGTTGTGCTAAATGTTCGTCGTTTACGATTTGGTTTTAATTTTTTTTGTTTTAATTCATCTAATCTACCACTTGATGTAATTTCTTCACCATATATTCCTTCTATTCTTTTTCGTTTATGTGTTTTTGGAAGTGAAGATGAACTTGGAGTATATTGTTGAAGTAAATCGACAAGTATTGAACGAACAGCAGTAGATGGACTCATTTGATTTGATGGTAATGGATTAACAATTTGTTCGCCAATATTCACTTGACTAAATTCTGATGTTTGTGATGGACGTACAGTATTTGGTATATGAACCGGTATTAATTTACCATCCATTCGATTTTCTTCATTATCTAACGAATGAAATGATAATTAATAAGTAAAAATCGTTTCTTCCGATTATTTTCTTACCATCTATTTCAAACTCAATCAGTGACATACGTTGTTTTGGATGTTGTTTCAAATTAAATGAATTTTGTCGATCTGTTGTTGGTAAAGTACGTGGATCAAAACCAATACTAGAATTAAGGGAACAGACCATCTAATAAGTCTTTTCCGACCCGTATGTTATTCTTACATTTTTTGTCCATCATCAACTTCAGTTAAATCAATTTCACTTGTCGATAGCGTTGATATACTTTCAGTTGATTGACGAGTTTGTTTGATTGATAAACTTAAAGAATTAACAAACGATTTATTTAAAACTTGGTGGTTGAAAAAGAAATTTATCTATACACATTTGCTTACTTTGTATCGACAGGTAAAATTGTATTATTTGATTTATCAACTGACGACTCAAATTGATTTGATGAATTTGTATTCATACTTACATCAGATACAAATGATTGAAATCTATAAGACAAAGATATAGAATAAAAATATTGTAAGATAGATGTTTAAAAATTCATACCGAAATGAATAAGATGGATTTAAGAACGATGAACTTAATGTACTCATATTTTGATTTGTAGTTAATTGTTGATAAAAGTTTCTAGAAAATAGTGAATTCATTATAGAGAAATGGTCTGATGAGCTTTGTTTTTCTTGATAGAAATGTCTAACATTTTGTGAGTAAATGAAGAGGGCATGGTTGTAGATGATGAATAGTTTTCTGGTGCAGTTGCTGGTGCATTACACTGAAAAAAATAAAGGTACCATACAAAACCTTTATGGTTCGGTGGTACTTTACTGTATCTCTAAAGGTACGATATGGACCCGCGAAACCTTTTGTAGGTTTAGCACTGGAAAAAGTTCGGTGTGATCCTTTTATGAGGTTTTGAAAAAGAAGAGGTTTCGTGCCATACTTTTTGTGGAAGTTGAAATTGAACAAAGTTTCGTANATTTTTTTTGTTTTAATTCATCTAATCTACCACTTGATGTAATTTCTTCACCATATATTCCTTCTATTCTTTTTCGTTTATGTGTTTTTGGAAGTGAAGATGAACTTGGAGTATATTGTTGAAGTAAATCGACAAGTATTGAACGAACAGCAGTAGATGGACTCATTTGATTTGATGGTAATGGATTAACAATTTGTTCGCCAATATTCACTTGACTAAACTTTGATGTTTGTGATGGACGTACAGTATTTGGTATATGAACCGGAATTAATTTACCATCCATTCGATTTTCTTCATCATCTAACGAATGAAATGATAATTAATAAGTAAAAATCGTTTCTTCCGATTGTTTTCTTACCATCTATTTCAAACTCAATCAATGACATACGTTGTTTTGGATGTTGTTTCAAATTAAATGAATTTTGTCGATCTGTTGTTGGTAAAGTACGTGGATCAAAACCAATACTAGAATTAAGAGAACAGACCATTTAATAAGTCTTTTCCGACCCGTATGTTATTCTTACATTTTTTGTCCATCATCAACTTCATTTAAATCAATTTCACTTGTCAGTAGCGGTGATATACTTTCAGTTGATTGACGAGTTTGTTTGATTGATGAACTTAAAGAATTAACAAACGATTTACTTAAAACTTGGTGGTTGAAAAAGAAATTTATCTATAGACATTTGCTTACTTTGTATCGACAGGTAAAATTGTATTATTTGATTTATCAGCTGACGACTCAAATTGATTTGATGAATTTGTATTCATACTTACATCAGATACAAATGATGGAAATCTATAAGACAAAGATATAGAATAAGAATATTGTAAGATAGATGTTTAAAAATTCATACCGAAATGAATAAGATGGATTTAAGAACGATGAACGTAATGTACTCATATTTTGATTTGTAGTTAATTGTTGATCAAAGTTTCTAGAAAATAGTGAATTCATTATAGAGAAACGGTCTGATGAGCTTTGTTTTTCTTGATAGAAATGTCTTACATTTTGTGAGTAAATGAAGAAGTCATGGTTGTAGATGATGAATAATTTTCTGGTGCAGTTGCTGGTGCATTACTTGAAATAATTTCATTTAATAAACGATTTAATTCATCGTCATCACTATTATCGATATCCATTACTATCGTTGATACATTTGAATCATTTAAACCGGAAGATGATGATGATGAAATGGAAGATATAGTAATAGGAGTAGTATTGTTATTAGTAAGAAAAGACTGTGTTGACGATGTCGAAAGATTTGTTGAACTGTTAAATAAGTGGGAAAATTTAATAATTAAAAAATATTGTTTTTAGGTGAAAAATAATACGATACTTTGTTGTCTGTGGTAATGGATTGAGTTGTTTTCCTGTCAATGGTTGCTTTACTACTTTGTCTTTATTGGCATCGGGATTAAATGGCCATACTCCAGTCCGTGCAAAACCAGCAAGTACTTGTTTAGATGCAAATGCTGATTGATACAATTTAGTAAAAAGACCAGGTAAATCAATTTTACGAATTGTTCTTCGATCAGTTCGTGAGAAGTATTTACCCACTAAATTTTTCCATACTTGCTTAGCAACACTAAAAGAAATAATTAATACGTGAGTAAACATTTATTTAAAACTTCGAGAAATTGTGAATTTCAATGAAAAAAAAGAATTTATTTAATTACCCAAAAGTTACAGCATCAAGTGGTTGTAGGACATATGTGCAATTTGGGAGCAATAATAATAACAATATTTGATGTTGTTTTGCCAATTGAATTAGTTCGATGCTAACATGAGATGGATGATTATCCATAATTCAAAGAATTGGTTTGGAAATATTCTTTGCATGTTCAATAAACCATTTAAACCATTCAACATATAAATGTCCATTAATCCATCCAGATTCAGATACAGCATATAAAGAACCAGGTGGTCCACCAAAAGTCCATTGTGGATTCAAGCTTTTTGCTGAATATATACTAAAAGGAGGCAATATTTCACCTGCTGCATTACTACACATTAAACTGGTTGTAAAACACTTTCCACTACCACCAGATTGTTCATAAGCTTCTTTTGTTTCATGAGACACAATCACCATTTCCCCTACGAAATGAAGGATATAAATATTAGATACTTCCCATCTAAAATTCCATTTTTATATAAAACTATTGATTTACCAGCACTCTCATCACTGAAACCGCTTTCATCACAATTGAAAATGGCATGTGGTCGGGTTTTCAGATTATTTGTTCGAAGAATTAAATCAAGTTTAGCATACCAACCAACACGGACATCTTCAGTAAAACCATTACGTCGTGATATCTCCATTTTTTTTCTTTCAAAACCTTTAATTTGGTTTTCCATCGTTGTAAAAATTTAGTTAACCATTTACGACCAACTTGAATATCTTCATCTAAATCAAATATAATATTGTTAAAAATAAAAGTTTTGAAAGAAGTTTTGTTGACTATCTACCAGAAACAGCTTGTGCATATTCGGATGATAATTTTATAACTACCGGTTTTGTCAAACGAACTCCAACCAGTTCGAGATTTATTAATAATTCCACCAAATATTGTTCCTGTTGATCTGTTAATAATGCTGGACGACCACCACCAACTTTTTATTTTGAATTGGATTTATGATTACGAATTGTACTACCTGGAATTCCATATTTAGTTGTTAACTCTGATGATGTAGAACCATTTTTATATTCATCAATAGCTTTAGTTAAAGCTTCTTTCGAATAAGGGTTCCTTTTCGTTTTCATATTTCAAGAACAAATAAATGAAATGATAATAAAAATAAGTACAAGTAAATAACTTATAATGTTGTAACTGAGAAAAACAATAAGTTTGAAAATGATGTAATTAAATATGTGCTATTATTTTCTTTTACGTAAATGACGTTCTATTGTATTTGTATTTTGTTCAATTCCAAAAAATATCGGTCTCGGATACGATTGGTGTTCTATGTAACAAAATCATACATAATTCCTCATTTTATTTTAACTTAATATTTGATGAATTATTTGTAATTGTTTGAAAAATCAAATTAATTAGAATCGACATTATAATCTAAATATTAATAGTTAAACATATGTATCAATACCAGACATGTCAGCGAGTGCTTTGAACTGCTGGAAATTAATGTATTGTTATCAGATAAAGATTTTTTAATAAGAACGCGCAAAGAAATTTTTATGTTTACATATAAAAACACTTCATTTAGTAAAAAATAATTTTTTTTCTATGTAAATTATATGAAATGTTCTTATTAGGAACATTTTTTCGCTGACTGTTCGTATTAGGAACAGTGTTCCTAATAAGAACAGGCGAGCTATTTTTAAAAATGTAATAACTTTGTTATTACAAATTGAAAAAATCTGAACCTTGAGATTCAATGGTATCAAGTGACGAGGAACATTTTTTGTTAAAGAAGTATATCGGAATTTTTTACTCCAAGAATAAAAAAGTCGATTTACTAAAAAAAGTTTTTTTTCTATGTATTTTATAAGAAATGTTCTTATTAGGAACAGTGTACCTAATAAGAACAAATTCAATTATTCGCAAACTACCGCTAATTACTTAATTAGTTTACGAGATAATTAGATGATTTTTACATCATTCGATACAGCAGACATTTCTGCACTCAGAAATGTAAAAAAAGTTTTTTTACCATGAGAAATGACTTAGTAGCAAAGGAATTACTCCGACTTCCAAAAAATCTGTTCTTTTTAGGAACATTGACTGTATAATAATAATAATAACGAATTTTATTAATATGGAAATTTTCGATCTTATACGAACATTTTCAACCACTTAACAAGACTATAGATGTTACAAAAAGAAAACAGAAATAGACTAGAAATAGATGAAAAATTGTAAATTCTAATCAATAACATTAATATTCAGTAAAACTACAAACATAAGTTATATAAGTAGGTATATACGAAAATTGGATTAAACTCATTTGAAATTAAAATTAAAATTAAAATTAAAATTAAAATTATGTATTGAATTATTATTACATCAAACAATAATTTTAATTCATTAATATGAGTTTAAAAGTTAATGATTATGATGTTATTAATTAGAATTTACAACTTTTCATCTGTTTCTAGTCTATCTTTGTTTTCGTTTTGTAACATCTATAGTCTTGTTAAGTGGTTGAAAATGATCGTATAAGATCGAAAATTTCCATACCAATAAAATTCGTTATTATTATTATTGTATCATTTTCTACATTTGTTTTTCATTACATAGATAATGCATTAAATCTCATGTACTATTTCCTTTCAGACCTCAATTGCTCGATAGGATTAAGAACAGAACTTTTTCCTGGCTACTTTAATACATTAACCGATAATTCATGTAACTTCGTTTGACTTTGTCTCGATACATGATATCGAGTATTGTCGTGTTGGTATAAATAATTATTTTCCATTTGATATAATTGTAGTGTTGGAATTAAATAATTGTCTAGAATATCACAATCAACATCACTGTTAGAATTTCCATCATAAATTCGAAAACCAGTAGTTCGTTCTGAAGTAATACTACTATAGAAATTTATATGACCACCAACTCCTACTGCTATCACTTGCATACAATCTTCTTTCTAACGTTCATCTTTTGTACGCCATACTTTTTTTTTTTTTTACGTTTTATAATATAGAAACATGTTTCATCACTAAATATTACATATTTCCATTGATTAATGGTCCAGTTTGAATAATCCACACACCAATTAATTCTACCTTTTTAATGATCCTTGTTAAGAAATGATTTTGTTATTTTAGTTTTATATTCATAACCACATTGGCGAAGATAATTAATAACTGTTTTTGTAGCAACTGGATTGTTTAATGTATTAATGAATCTAAAAGTTGTTTTACGTGCAGAATAATGTCGCCCATCATTTTGTATTAAATGTTTTAACATACGAATATTTCGATTATTTAATGTTTTTGGTATACCAGTACGTCGCCGATCTCGAAAGTCACCTGTTTCTTCATATCGCTTCAAAGCACGTTGAACAGATGATTTTGAAATACCAAGGATAGTGCTGATTTTACGACAAGTCATGCCGACTTTACTCATTGAAACACATTGAACTCGTTGATAATCACGACGCAGTGTTTGCATCATTTCATTATCTTCAATGGAGATTTATTTGATGTTACTAAGATCAGTATTAACTGTATTTTAATCACAAATTGATGTACCAATTAAAACTGATGTTTTACGATTATCTCAATAACGTATAAACGTAAATCTCCCTAATTTACGAGTTACTTGTTTACGAAATCTAAACTGTCTCAGAACTGTTTTCTGCTGGCCGACTTTTGTTCGTTTTGTTTTTTATATTAAAATCAGAACTTTTTCGTCTGCATGTTATAATATGAAAGCTTAATGAATAAATACACTTAACATATATATAAAGTTTAATTCGAATGAAATGTAAAATTTTGGTAAGCCATTCTTAAGTATTCCAAAATTTGTTGCATAGACTGCAGATATGAACATCTATATATCGTGATGGCTCATGCAACGCAGTCAAAGAACAGAAAGAAAATAAACGAAATACAACAATAGAAATATTGTTATATACGAAATTACAGTGATCACAACATGAAGAAAAAAACGCATAAATATGTATAGATACATATATGTAAATGATGATGACTCATCAGTAAAGAAACAGTAATTGAGAAGAAATGAAATTGAAACATAACAATAATAACGATTATTGTCAATACATCACAAAATAAAAATCGATTTTAAAGGCTGCGAACCAAATCAATTCCATCTATGTTGTAAATATATTTTTATTTAAAATAAATTATACGTTAACAAATACATTGGTTATCTTCAAAACGATCAAACAACATATGATACATTCTTTTTGAGCCACTTTGTTTATATATTATAACGAGTTCGCCATGTGGCGGGGACTGGCTGCAATATATGATACATACGTATATATGCATTAACAGGAAAGAAAAAAAAAGAAACAGATATTGTCCTCTTATATTATCCTTTTCATGGCAATTATATGACGGACCGTACGATTACCATAAAAAGAGCAACGTAAGAAGACAATATCTGTTTCTTTTTTATTTATTTCTTGTCTATGCATATATATGTTATGGCCGAAGTTAGAATTCAGCCCAATTCAGAATTCGTCCAGACGAAATTGGAATATTATTTTAATGAATCACAGAACTTGAAGAAACATCACCAATTAGAAGACGAAAGAGTCCCGAACGACAGTGAGGGTGAGGGGGCCTGGGTGAGCGTGAGTCTGGATGAGGGTGAATATATGAGCGAAATTCCGGTTTTGCGGAGTTTTTCACTTTCCTTTCACACTATTGCCGCACCCTCACCCAGAGCCCCCCCCCCCCCTTACTGTTACAGAGACTTCGCCCTCATCCTGATCATCATTCGTGATCCCCATGTGATCTAATTGTTGGTAGTTTTTTAAGTTCTGTGATATATTAAAATAATATTCCAATTTCGTCTAGTCGAAATTAGAATTCTAATTTCGTCTGGACGAATTCTGAATTGGGCTGAATTCTAACTTCGACCATAACATATACATATGTATTATATATTGCTTGATCAGTCTGGATAAGACGAATGTAACTACCTGAAATACATATCAGTTATTCTAAATAAACATTATTCGAAGCAATTTTATACTTCATATTTTTATTACCTTTCGAAAATTAGTTCTCTGTAGTATCTGGAAAATAGAACAAGGTGACGGCTGGCATTCGAATGATGACAATGCAAGATTTTTCGAATGTCTCGAACTTATTCATGTTTCTACGCAAAGTGGCATAGATCTTTTTTCATTTTGTTTTATTAATTATCGATGATTATTAACAAGTTACTAGGAATGAAAAAAAAATGTTCAGTTAGTCGGTGTTAGTAGAAAAACCTAATCCCAATATAGTATTTATTATTTGAGTGTTTGAGAAAAATGAAAGTGAGATGGTTAAATTTGTTTTACACTAAAATCGAAAACTAAAAGAAATAATGGAAACGAAAAAAGATGATTGTAGGCGATAGTTCTAGTTCAGCGTCCAATAGCGTCATACTGCTTAGGACATGGCGCAACCTTGGATGCTTAGTTTCCAGTTTTGCTGAATCAAGAACTGGGTTCCTCCCACAACCACATTGTAACTTGCACCATTGGACGCCGTAGATGTATTGCCAAAGGTCCAAGCACATTTATCTGCGTTTTCCTGACCACTTGCATCATACCAAGCATTTAAGGCGGGATCTGTGACTGCTTCAGTAGCTTCATGTGCAATAACACTGATCATTGCATCTGCTCCCAGATTGTTATTTGGTGACTGGGTCTGCTGCGCACAGCTCCTTGGGCATTTGGTGGCTGGATTTCCAACAAAGGAAAATTTCAACTTGCTTGCGGGGTCATAACTATGCCAACCACAATATCTCGAGCAGAACCCACTCGTTTCACTTACATCGCCAGCGGTTAACACAAAATAGATACCATTTGTATCGTTGGGTAAACGTCCCGAAATGATGGCACTCTTCACAATAGTTAGTACTCTTGCGTCTGTCAAGGTCTTCCCTTGCGAATAGTTATCCGTTGTTGATTTGCCGAAGACTATGCCTGCAGTTTGATTATATTCAGTGGTCATGTACCACCATGGATGGGTGCCAATATTCTGCAAAAAGTATTCTATAAGAGCAACACCAGTATTGCCAGCCCAATTTCCATACCAGATCACATACGCAGTAGAATTTATCATAACAGGACCTTTATGATATAATATGGGATTTGTAGCTCTGTTAATTCGTGCAGCCAGTCTTCCACTTGCCTCGTTCTTTTGTGAGTGTATTCTTATTTCCAGACCTTTGGCTAAACAGTACATAATTCAAAAATAAGGAAAGAAGTTTAACAAAAATTTCTCAAATGGGTATTACTCTGGTTGGGTATGCACCGATGACAATTGTCTATCAGTAATAGCGCCACTACGGTGAAGCAATGAACAATGTACCGTCATCGTTTCAACCGTAGCGCTGACAACATTACTTTGAACAAACGAATCAGAACTTGGAGAACGCGCTAAATATCCTTGTTTAGAATAAGTTTCGTGGTAGCTTTGATTTGTTTTAGCATAGATGTAATAGGTAAATATCGAGCAAAAAATATCGATTTCTTCCTGTTTTAGCATTACTTATTAATTTAGATCTTTTCTTTGCCTATCTTACGTTCAGTTACTGGCATAAAAATTGATTACGGATTATAAATACCTGGCATGTCTTCTATTAAGAGTTGGTAAAAGTAGCATTCCAGCACACTTTTGACAAAAAAAAGATATTGACATTGCTTGATTTGGTCGAGTCATCTACCTCTAATGATGTACTATACTTGACAGTGGCTGCAGCTGAATAAAACTGAGAAATATTCAATCGTAGGCAACTCAACATTCAAAATTTCATTCTACACGACATTTACGAGAATAGTTACGCATGCTAACTGATAATTTGAAAAGAAGACATGTATTACTGTTTACGAGACCCAAAAATCACCTCATATCGAACAACGTTAAGTATTCCCTTAAGAAAAGTCTTAGCATAGTGAACTATAAGATAATGTGCTAAGTAAAAGCGAAAGATCTATTGCATGTATCTTCTACTTACATTCTTGAACTTGACTACCAATCCACAATAATGTAACGATTATTGTCCATGATTGTAGATACTGCATATCTATATTCTTGTATACCTTTTGAAAAGGATTGCTTTGTCTTAATCTGATACTTCTGTAATGTTTATGCAGTATTGGAGCAGTGAATATATACGCTGCAAGTGTGTACAGTCATGGTTCGTTGCTCTACTTTCGAAAATATGGACATCAGCTGCTTTTCTCTAATACTGATATTACAATATGACAATACGACGATGAAAAACTTATAATGAGATAAAATACATCATATGACCATAGTCGTACATACAATAGCCGTGTTTACTGTATCATTTTAAATATTCTCACATGATTATACCAATTATTTTGTATTTACCTTATAATATGATAATACAGCGATGAGAAAAATATAATGGGATAAAATATATCATATAATTCTATTCTCTAATATAATAGCCATGCTTAAATATCAATTTAACGGGACTCACATGATATACGAAACTATTTCTAACTTAATAATGAAATAAAGTAACTTAAATAAAATTAAAGTCAAAATACAAAAGAAATAACCAAAATAATTTTGCCGATAATTATGAGTCTTTCTGGTTCCTCTCAATCTTCTTGAACCACATTTTGTGTTTCTACTTTCAATAACTAAACGATAGGTTATGATAAATCTTTCCTTATTCAAAATTTTATTGAGTTATTTTTTTCTGAATTAAGTTG